CTCGACGGGACGGGAATGAGAATGGTCAACCCGTCCCACACCCGTTCCTTTGCCACCCCTATATCCCACCAAATGTCAATCCCAATATCCACCCCCTCCCCCTCCCCTCTCCACACTCTCACCGTCTCTTCACAAAGTCGATACAGCCGCCTCCATCGCCCGTCGTTCTTCTATTCCTTCTCTTCTTTCTCCTGGCACTCACTTCGCCGCCGTAACTCAATCCAAGCCCCCAGAGGCTCTGCCCTCAGAGCAACCCACCTCAAGGCGGTAGCCATAAGCGAAAATTGGCCTCCATTAACAGTGGCGGTGGTTCAACTACTAGGCCATTTCCTCCAAGCGGCAGGCCAGAGAGAAGCCATCTCCGGTGCCATTTCCTCTTATCCACCACAATAGACCATTCACTGGGGCTTGGGTGCAGCCGAACAACAATTGTGTGTCGGTGGTGGAGCCAACGGAGCGAGTTCACATAGAAAGCTCGGTTAAGAAAGAGGATTCGATAGAAGTGATCGAAATTTGGGAGGCTTTTGAGGCGAAGATTGAGGATGAATATGTGGCCATTAGATCGACAGATGCAAATGTCCATGTGGTGCCTACTCATGCTGGTTAGTGAGAACCAAATAACAGGTCACAAATGGGTGGGATGCTTCCTCTTACTCTTCTTCTCACGTTTTTCATTCTTTTCCGCCTCCTTTTCAGGTTTCTTCCTCTTATTCCCAGCAAATGTATGGCGGATGTGTGTGTATTGTGGCGGGGTCGACGATGTAGATCTGTTTGTTGGCGGATCTGTGTGTGGTGGATCTGTTTATTATTGTGGCGGGGTTGACAGTGGTGGTGGTGGTGGGTTTTTTGGTGTTGTGGTGCGGGTGGCAATGGTGATGATTGTTTTTTGTTATTATTTTGGATGCGGTTGTGGTGGTGTTGTGACTGGAGGGACGATGTTGGTGATGTTGTGCAGGCGACGACGGTGGTGGTTTAGGTGGTGATTTTTGTTGGTGGGTGGCGGCGACGGTAAAGGTCGCAGCGGTAGTGGAGGTGGCGGTGAAGAGTGTCTGTGACCAACTATTTGCTCGATCTGTGACCAAGTATTGGTGGCGGATTGAGATCGAGGACGGGTGTATGTGACCAACTATATTAGCTATTAAACTGTGACCTTAAAATTCGATAATCTGTTATTAAAAATATAATCTGTGACCAATAAATTTGGAAATATATGACATCCGTTATCTATAATTTTTTTGAACTTGTAACCAATTAAATATTTGTGACCTATAATTTTTTTTTTTATCATTGATCAATGACGTCAACTGCGACCCGAATATTTTTGATTTGTGCTTCGAAATAATATGTGACCAATAATTTGATAACTTGTGACTGAAAATTAATTTTTGTCTAATTAATTAGATATCTGTGACCAAATTGTATATAACTGTGGCCTTAACAATTGTCAAAATCGGAGCAGTCGTCAGAATTAAGCGGTGGCGGAACGGTAATAGTCGCCGGAGTAGAGTGGCCACCGAAACAGTCGCCGGAGCAGTAGGGGTGGGGTTAATTATATTATATTACAATTAAATATTTAATTAATTAATAAAAACCCGATTTTTACAATTTTGAAACTTAGCACCTAATTTTTGATTTTGGCAAAGATAATACCTGATCCATGAATTTTTCCCATTTGCTAGTGCGCTTACTTGGGCAAAGATTGTGGGTTCAGTGGTTAATGGGTCTTCTTTAAGCACTCGGCCAATGATCCAGGGACTGACTGGCATCAATTTGAGATGTTAATGGCCAAACTGGCGAATGTAGAAAATATAATTTACATCCTCTAGAAATTTCAGGAGTTATTTTGCATGAAACTGAAGTGTAGGGAGCGATCTGAATAATATAGTAAGTTCACGGACATATTAGCCACATCCCAGGAAGTTTGTGGACCAATTTGCAGACTGCAAAACCTCAGGGACATATTTTTGAATTTTAGAAACCACGAGGATGATTTGCAATTCACAGAAATATAGGGAAAGAAGTGCAAAGGCAAACTTGGCTAAGGGATTTGTTTGACAAATGGGATGTTCCACGGAATCGTCAATCACTTCAAGAGTGGGTCAAAGTGGAACAAAATTTTCGAGAGTGGACAACCCGCTAGACTAGTCTTTTAGGGGGATTCTAAAAACAAATGGATCAAAATAGACACATCTTTATCTATTAACATAGATAGTGGGTCACAAGGTAAGGACATACTAAAGCTCATGCTGGGAAATCCCACGATGAATGTAGGAGCTCAAACACCAATATCGAGCTCAAGCAACAAACGAATCAATTTCATTCACGAAAAGAGGCCAGCATAAAATCTGCACCTTTCTACTCAAGATTTGACTGTGATGATATAGATGATCGAATAGGACGGGATGGTAATTATGCCTTGAGCAGTGATGTTGAATTTGATGATATGTCAGTTGGATAACTCACATCGTCCAACAAAATAATTTTGTTTTTGTTATTAACAATTTGAAATGAGTATGTAGTTTTTATAGTTGATGCACATTTTTTAGTAGAGAATGCCTTTTTTGTGATGTGATGATGAATATGTGGTTAAAAAAGAAGGAAAAATTATTGATGTGATATAAATATTATTTTATTGAAGAATGTGGTTGAAAATGAGTAAAAGAATGAGAATGAAAATGAGAATGTGGCTCAAACAGGGGCGTAATAATTTTTTTAATAAACAAGTTTCCAAGTTAAATATCTATTATTAGTGGATACCAATGATGATTTCTATCTAAAACACCTTTAAAATGCTATTTAACTCACACTCGAGGTAGGTCTAGGGGCTTCACATACTCATTGTCTTGGTTTCAAAATTACAAAATTCTAAATTTTCTTTCCTCCCACCGATGTCAACCATTATTGTCGTCACGCATGCTTACTCTCGTAGAACTCGCATGTTCCATTGAATTTTTTAAAAAAAAGTTCAATAAGAACTACATTACTATAGTTTCAAGAATAGCCTAAAATGAAACTTGAGCCAATCATATCAAGCATAACTTTAAATGAATTTCTCGATATAATCTTTAGATTTATAGCACAATACTATGTACAAGTGATACTAAATTATGCAAATTTCGCTTAAAACTAAATTCAAAATTTTCTATTGTTATGAATTAATGGAAGAAAAATATTTACATTATCTAGAATATAGCCTAGAAGTGTCTTAGGTGTGGTTCTTTTAATTTCAATATCTCAATTATATTACTTCTTATTTTGT